GGCTGCGAGCCATGTTCTGTAATGCCACGAACCAAGCACAAGGCGGATCACGTGGGCTCTAGCCGCGAAGGCGAAACGCACCAACCGTACCCAGTCTGGTGGTCGGTGACTAATTTCCTGCTGCCAAATCAACTTTTGTCCACCTCGAGCCTTGCGCCACCCTATATCTAGCAGACTAAGCAAGGCCCTCCTCGGAAAGTGGCGAATGCGGGAACTGACTACAGTTTCGATGCGCCCATCGTTGCTGATGCAGCTGATTAAGGTAAGTGAATCGAGCAAACAACTCGAGTTCTTCGTTAACAAGCGTCAAGGAGTCATCAAGTGGCTGGTTGTCCTCCAGCAACACTTGGCACTTTGTAGGTGCATAGCGCATACCAAATAATATGACCACTCTAGAGAAGCTATTCAGGGTTGATTCCACCCACGCAACATCGTCAAAAAGCAAGGAGATATCGTCCGCATAATCTAGATCAACCATATTTCCCCCTGGCAGCATCTCAAGGCCTACATCGTGAGATTCCGCAAGGGAACACTCCATGATGGAGTCCGCGACGAAATTGAGGAGAAATGGAGAAATCAGACAACTCTGACGAACGCCACTTGTTGTCGAAAAGCTATCCGACAGGTCAAAGTAAACCCTGATGTGGCCTGTAGTGTTTGAATACAGAGCACGTAAAATGTTCACATATTTCGTGGGAACACATTTCCGCGTAAGTATTTCGAACAGAATGCATTGATCGACTGAATCGAACGCACCCTTGAAATCGAGGAACACAGCTAGTGTCTGTCTGCGGTATGCGTGGCGCTGCTCTAGCACTTGCCGCAAAGTGAATGTGTGATCTATACAGCCATGTCCTGGGCGGAAACCTGCCTGCTCTTCCTTAATCCGAGATTCCCGTTTCGCAGTGAGGCAACGAACGAGAATCGAGGGCAGCACTTTTGTCATCACCGGCGTTGGGCTAATACCCTGTGATTAGCACAATCTGTGCGACTGCCCCTCTTGTATATCGCCACTATAATCGATTCACTCCAGTTAGCTGGTATGGTCTCTTCCTTCCAGATATGTTCGAATAGGGAGGTCAGTGCTTTCCAAAGGACCTCACATTCATCCTTAAATAGTGCAGGTTGCAGGGAATCCGGGCTAGCAGCAAGAAAACGATAAAAGGTTGTGATCGCGTTTTGCACTTCAGCTCCCGCTGCAGCCTCTAACCTAACCGTCCATGGCTCGTACTGCATCACTTGAGTAGGAAGAGGTCCGGGATCAGAGCGCCAACTGAACTGATCTTGAAAGTTTTCCACCCAACGAGCCATACGGCACTCTTTATTGGGTGTCAGTGCATCTGCGCTGTCTCTGATTGTTTTACTGGCGCCTGATTTCCTGGGGCCGGTGGTGCGGATCAACTAGAAAAGCTTGCGGTAATTGCCTACCGCTCCTGCCTCCTCCATTTCTTCAGCCCAGCTGGTCCACCAGGCTTCCTTGTCATCAGCACGTAGGGACCGCTTTAGTTCGCGCCTAATAGTGCGTCTGGTCACATTGTGTTCAGAGATAGCCGGGAGGTGTCTTCTGGATTCCAACAGGTTCACTGACTTCTCGGACATCCAGTGACTGCCATGGTGACGATTGATATTGTCACAAGCAGTTGCTTCTGTGTCGTGCATGGCGTTCGAGATCCTATTACACTGAAGCTCAGTGTCATTAGAACAAGACAGCGAAAGTTCGGTAGCGGGGCGTTTTGATAAGCTTGTCTGACCGAGGGCTGAGACAATTGCTCCGTTGCCAATCGGAGGAGATGCTTGGTACACCTGTCGGTAAAGTTCATGTAGAAACGACAGCGTTCCAAGGCATGATCAGAGTGGACGCAGGTCTTCCAGAACGAGCGGCAATCCAGGATGGAATCACGCCACCTGTAAGTTATGGAAATGTGGTCAATTTGGGTCCATGGCTGGCCAGCTACAGAAGGACGTCAAGTGGCACTTCGGCGCCTACTGTGTCTAAAATCTGCGCTACTAAGAAACAATCGGTGCTCCGCACACATTTGCAGCAGACGCTCACCACTGTTAGTGAGTTCGGAGTTACACTCATAATAACCACTTGGCTGAGCTTCTGAAGAGCTCAGACGTCCTAAATGTGTGTTCATATCCCTTGCAAGTACTATGATTTATGAACTAGTGGCACTGCGTACTAGCGCATTCAGTTCGTGATAGAATGTGTCATTGGCAGCATCAAAACTGGAGTCGGTGGGAGTGTAAGCGGAAACCACAGACAAACGGCGTTTTGCACTACTTCGTGTATCAACCTGAGCTGATGTCGTCAAAAGGGCTGCACACAAACGGCTGATCATTGGAATCCAATCAACCGACGCTGGCTCAGCCTTAGAGCTGAGAAGGATACCTACGCCAGTTTGACGCGTGAGTGCTGCATCAGCGTCACCGGATGCGTACAACCAATAGCGAGAGGACACGCCGGGCCCAGTTGATGCAACAACCGCAGTATGGTCATTGATCCTAGTATCGGACACACAACACACGTCAATACCCAGTGATTCCAACCTATGTGCGAGCGCAGCCTGTCGGCATATTTGTCTTAGAGTGCGAACATCGAACGTCGCCAGTGTGGACGCTAGGAAGTAAGCCAAAAACGCAAGCAAAAGAATCGTCATGGACAATATTCATGCAGCATACACACTCATACAAAAAATATTGTAAACATGTCAGGAAAGCCTATGGAGCAAAGGACCCCGAGCGCATCTGAGCAACCTGCGTCCGGTCTTGTGATCCATTTACACAGTCTACACACCGTATATCAGTGCTGAAAACAGAGGAGCTTCACTCTGATGATAGAGAAAATGGAGGAGGCAAAGCAACCGGCATATACTCTAAGTATCTATTCCCAAGCGCTCTGGGCTAACGTACTGGGTTCCACTTGAAGCCCATTCAGTTTTCAGAAACATTTTAGATGCAGGATGTAATTAGAGTTCGGGGGGACTGAGATACTACCATGGTAGCCAGACCTAAACAGGTGGACGATTAGGATCCTCGACCAAAGCCTTTGGCTCCAAAGGCTGTCCGCAAGGCAGTGGGGAGGTGGCAACGTATCAGTTTTGCAGAAATGGACACCGTCCCAATTTAAACCCCCGACCTGGAGGATCAGGAGACTAAGTTTGTTTGACCTCTAACCAATGATCAACCTGGTAGAAGTAGCTCTCAAGGGGTCCGGAGATACCCCAGTATAGCAGAATGGGTCAAGAAGATACGTAAAACGTCTTACCACATTTAAGTGCAATCTCGTTCCGAAGGGAGATAAAAGAAGGACCGACTGCAACTGGATCTTTCATGCAGCTCCGCATGCTCCGCTTAAGTCGTCAATCCCAAGACGTGCACCGTTCTAAACCGCGGGTTGCACTTAGCTCCAATGACGCTAAACGAAATGCAGTTAAGAGAGTCGTTTTCAAAAACTTGTTTTGATGTCTTAACCGCAATGCGGGCGATTCAGGCATTGGAATAACATTGGGAGCCGATGACCGATTACTCAGTTTATACGCTTGCCAAGCATGGGCCCAATTTTCCTCACAATTTCAGCAGCAGATCGCTGGAATACAATGCTTCACCGGAGTGAAGTTAGGGGCAGTGACTTTATTTAGTGGCGAGTAACACACGCCACGTCGCAGTGTTGTTAAACAGACATTTGTGACTTTTTGTGGGGAGAACGCTTGTCGATGAATCACTCGCTGGAACGGGGAATCCCGAACCACTCAGCAGGCACCATGACGCTTCTCGGCCAGGGGCGCGTGAAAAATACAAAAATACCGTTCTTTATATAATTTAAACTGTAGCTTTTATACTTATTACACATTTATCTCATGGCTTTTCTTGGCTCAATGTTTACTCCATCGACAGCTGTTTATATATATGTGTACATATATATATATATATATATATATATATATATATATATATATATATATATTGCCCCATGCTGAGGCTGACGTTGCATTCTTGATGCTTCTTCACCGCAGTTGGGCTAAACCAACTTACACTTAAACTAGGTCTTTTTAAGCTGGCTAAATTTCATTCCACTTTATTTGGTTTGTTCTGCCTACCTGAATACTCTTCTATTAACTGGCCAAGTTGCTTACATTAATTGCGCTTATCTTCGGTAACTCTGTTGCGTTTTGTAGCATTTTTAACTAACTTGTGGACATTTTTTCCTTATCTCGGATTTGTTGCTAACCAACTTACTTCATATGCTTATTTAGCTTAGAATTATGCCACCGTATCTGTATGCATTATTGTATTTGTTTTATTTCATCTTGTCGTTCCAGGTGATTGGCTGTTGCTTGATATCCCCGGTGTGGCTGCGCTTGATGTGCATGTTGACAAGGTGCCTACCTGTCTATTACCCACTACCTCGTCCATACTGGCTCTAGGAGACAGTTGGTCGTTGCTGGAGGGGACGGGGTGCACGGTCCTTGTGGCCGTGCTAGGCTCGAAGAGTGGTTCCATGCACTCAGTGTGGAGCGGACTACGGTCCAGCCACCGCCTTGTGTGCGCTTGATTTCCCAAATACAGCGTGCTTGTGTTTGCCTGTGAAGGAGTGTGGGCCGGCTCCGTTGATGAAACGTGGCTCCCATCCACATGCCTCTCGGTCTTATTCCTTCGGGTTTACACTGGATATGGGGTGTGTGGATGGAGCTGTGGGTGGTGCAGCGCAAGCCATCCATGGTCCCTCTGTAGGCGCAGGCGTCCTGTGGCTGGCCACAGTGACAGGCAAATCCGAAACCGGATGCCGCCAACCATATATATATATATATATATATATATATATATATATATATATATATATATATATATACATATATATATATGTATATATATACCATGAACAAACCCCAGTCCAGTTACAGATGGCCGACAAACTAATCGGATAACGCCAGAAAAAAGTAGTTTGCGGACAGTGGGATTAAAAGCGATTGGAAGTACCTTTTATCTTCATCAACTTTTGTTCGATGAGGTGGACACAAGAACTGCATGTCATGCCAGTGATATGCAGAAAACATCGCCGTTCCGATACATCCTTTGATCTCGCGATTTGGTTGCCAAGTACCGTATCCTTATTGCGCAAACGAAAGTCAGGACTCGGCAAAGAACTCTTGGCTTCAAGAGGAATGGAAGCAAGTAAGGGTGAGGCGGAGGTGCGTTTGGTAACTTCATCTGCTGGAGAAGCATGGGGTCCCGAGGACTGGTCCGTAGGTGTGTGGCGTCCAAGTCGGTTTTCCAGTGTGGACGCTAGGAAGTAAGCCAAAAACGCAAGCAAAAGAATCGTCATGGACAATATTCATGCAGCATACACACTCATACAAAAAATATTGTAAACTTGTCAGGAAAGCCTATGGAGCAAAGGACCCCGAGCGCATCTGAGCAACCTGCGTCCGGTCTTGTGATCCATTTACACAGTCTACACACCGTATATCAGTGCTGAAAACAGAGGAGCTTCACTCTGATGATAGAGAAAATGGTGGACGCAAAGCAACCGGCATATACTCTAGGTATCAATTCCCAAACGCTCTGGACTAAGGTACTGCGTTCCACTGGAAGCCCATTCAGCGCACTATTCACTACGTAAGCTAATGATATGATGGTAAATATCCGTTCGAATGAGTTCAAAGGCAGCAGCCGGAACAGCGGAATGTAACAGAAATCATCTGTAAATGTAACAAAGCCAGTAAGGTTCACTCCCACACAAACGTAAAAGTTCGCATGTAGGCTGGATGCTGTAAGTTAGTCCAGACTTGTGAATAGGCCTAAGGATTTCTAGTTGCGGATGGTGTTTTACAGTCGTACACAGATGGGATCGGTACACGAAAGCCGGCAAGGTAGTGTAATGGTGGCTGAAATCTGGGACGAAGGGAATCGCCTGCCTCAGTGTGGTCGATCAGGCGATCGATCGCGTAAGCGGGTGAATTTTCAAAGCACTGTTAGTTGTACAGAACCTGAGAATTGTAAATAGAACGCTTATGTGCTGAACCGGTGTTTTCTTTCTCTTGACGCGGCTAGAAGACCCAGGCTCACAACATGATGACAGAAGAGAGGATGAAATCGTAGTCGAAGACGCACTTTGCAGTTGGCGGGCAACCGGTGATTCCGTTTCCCACCCCCTTGCAGATGACAGAGAGTTCACTAGCAGACAACTATAGAATTTGGAAAACCAAATAGGTGGATTTCGAAACACTGACCCAATTGGACGCCCAGCCTATGAGCTACCAGCTCGCAATATTTAGGCACATTGTTAGTGACGATGCCAGAATGAAACTGGAAACGCCAGAGCTTGGCGATGTCAGTCAGGAGGTTGATCTGTCCGAGGTGTTGAGAAGATTTGGTGAATTCTACGAAGGTCTCGCGAATGAGACATACCAGAAGTAACTGTATTTTGCCCGCAACCGTTTACCAGGGGAAACTTTCAAGAGGTACATCACAGAACTGAAGCTCCTGGCATGCACCTGTAACTTCTGTGATTGCATGAAGCAGTCCTTAATACGTGACCGCATCGTTATCGGGATAAATAATGACGAACTCACGCGCCGCTTTCTAAGACAGAGGCACTTATCCTTGGGACAATGCATGGACATCTGCCTCAGTGAAGCCAGGACAGACCAACAATTCGAACGATTGCGGGCCGAGACAAACACAGATTTGTGCGCCGTATCCCGAACCAGTTAACGTATGCGCCAGGCATTTAATCAGCAGGAACCAAATTGTCAGTTTTGAGGCCGCAGACACCCAGTGTAAAGAGAATTGCCCAGCGTGGAGTCGAAATTGCAATGAAATACTCTGGGAGAAATCATTTCGCTCGTTGCTGCAGATCCTACAAGGAACTCTCAATAAACAACATGGATAGCTGTGCAAAATACAAATATGTCTGCAACACTTTTGGTTCGAGGACGACCTGTACGTTTTCAACTGGACAGGGTCCACTGCCAACACACTTCCAGAAAAGTACAGCAAGGGAGTGCCGTGTGACAAAACTCAGACTTGTCTCAGGATGTGGAATGGTTCGAGGATACAACCGGAGGGGTGTACTATGTTGGAGACGATCAATCCGAAGAATGGAACAGAACACCAGCTGAAGTTCCTGGTAGTGTCAGAAGACCTTATGCCCATTCTGGGCATTGATTCCATCTGGAGACTTGGTTTTGTTTGTTTTAACCCCGAGCGTTTTGTTCATTTGTGTGAGTCTGACGCAGATATTTTGACAGGTACCCGAGTGTATTTGACGGAGTGGTAGGGATGTTCGAGGGACGCGCTCACTTGTCACTAAACGAGTTTGCCAAACCAGTAGCGTTACCGCCTAGGAAGGTATCTATTGCTTCTCGCGAAAAATTATTGTACGCGCTACAACTTCTTTATATTCTGGGGGTAATAGCTAAAGTTGATGATCTGAATGATTTGGTCAGCCAGGTAGCGATTGTCTGGCGAGCTGCGCGTGTGTATCGATCCGAAACCGCTTAACGCCGCACTCAGAAGGGTATATTATACGTTGATGACGTTAGACGACATGCTGCTGGTATGGTGCAAAGCTAGGATGTTCACAAAAGCCGACCTCGCCTCAACCTTTTGGCAAGTATCTCTAGACGAGGAGTCAAGCTACCTGACAATGTCTAGAACATCGTTCTGGCGTTTCCGTTGGCTGCGTTTACCATTTGAGCTGAAAGTATCCAATGAGATATTCCAGAAGCGGCTAACACAAACTTTGGACGATTTACAGGGAGCATTCTGTGTAGCAGACGATGTGTTAGTGTTCGGCGCTACGCGAGAGTAGCACGAGCGAAGCCTCCATCGCCTTTTACAACGGTGCGCTGAAAGGAATATCAAACTGAAGCGAGAGAAGATCGAACTGCGTTGCACGGAAGTGGTATTCCATGGGCACGTGCTAAGTGCTAAAGGGATGAAACCGGACCCTGAGAAAATCAGAGTTATAAACGAGATGCCCACCACAGACGTTAAAGCTGTTAGCCGGCTAAATGGGATGATCAACTATTTGAGTCGATTCCTGCTCAGATTAGCAGATGTGGTGATATCGATCCGGAAGTTGACTCACAAGGTGAAAAGTGGCATTGGGGTGCACAGCAAGAAGGGGCTTTCTAGAAACTTAAGGAGCTAAATACTAACGAACCTGTTCTCACCTATTACAACCCTACACTCCCACTGGCGATCCAATGCGACAGCAGCCAATACGGTATCGGGGCCGCACTCATGTAGAACGCCAAACCCATCTACTTTCGCAGTAGAACGTTGACGGAGGCCGAACGTCGTTATGCTCAAATAGAAAAGGAAATGCTTGCGTTGGTCTACGACGTAGAGGGTTTCAATAACTATACTGTCGGCCGAAAGACTACAGCCTTTAACGACCACAAACCATTGGTTTCCATCACCAGCAAACCACTCCATGTTGTTCCCCGACGCTTGCAGAGCATGCTCATATGTCTTACAAAGTATGACCTAGATAATGTCTATCGAAATGGCCCCAAAATGCATATCGCAGACAAGCTATCGAGAGCATATCTAGCAGACACGCCAAAAGATGAGGAAGATTCTGCTTTCGTCCACGCAACACAACTGATAACTGTCACTGAGGATTGACTGAAACAGCTCCAACAGTGCACGGAGGAAGACGAGCTGTGCAAGCTACTGAAACAGACAATAATGAATGGTTGGCCTGAGGAGAAGAAAATGCTTCCCAAAGAGCTGACTCCGTTTTTCCATTGTCGAGACGAACTCATTGCCCAGGACGGATTGATATTCAAGGGCAATGGGATATTAATCCCCAAAGCACTGTAACGTTCAATACTGGAGCTCGTCCACTATGCTTATTTGGGAACCAACAATTGCGTAGTCAGAGCTCGTGACCTAATGTTCTGGGTAGGAATGAGCAGCCAGATACGCGATTAGGTTACGAATTGTGTGGCGTGCCGCACACATGACGTGCGTCAGTCAAAGGAGCCGATGATGCTCCGCAACGTTAGGGACAGGCCCTGGCAGGTAGTTGCAGTAGACATTTTCGTCTAGGATGGGAAAAGTTACTTGGTGCTGGTCGATTATTTCAGTGACTAGTTCGACGTCGATGCTCTTGCTACTACCAATACCCAAGCGGTTGTGAATAAATTACGGTGCCAGTTTGCTCATCATGGAACAATGGAAGTGGTGGTTTCGGACAACAGACCGCCGTTCCCTAGCGCAGAATTCAGTGCCTTCAGCAAAAAGTGGGATTTCCATCACCGGCTCACCAGCGCATACTATAGCCAATCAAATGGGAAAGCCGAGCCAGCGGTGGAAGAAGCAAAGAAAGTGCTTACCAAAGCGAGAGACTCACGAGGACCCCTATATTATGCTGCTGGAGCGCAGGAACATGCTATCCACAGGAATTGGGGCAAGTCCGGTGCAGCGACTGTTCAGCCGCAGGACATGAACGTTGATACCAACCGCGGCGGATCTACTCCAGCCCGAAGTAGCGCCAACCGCTTCGCTACACTAGCGACAATGGAACAAGATGCTAAAGCAAAAGCAGAACTGCGATCGCGAATCAAGAAGCCTCCGAACACTAGCAGTGGGAGAAGAAGTATGGGTGCAACCACCACCACAAACAGGAAAGTGGAGGAAGGGAGTGATTTAGAGCCGCAAGGGAGAGAGGAGTTACGAAAGCAAGATACGGGGTGGGATTATTCGACGATGTCCACTCGACCGACTCACGTGAACCGATCGAAGGCTGACATTCGAAGCAGGCAACAATCAGTAGTCACTCGGATCTGGCATTGGTTAGCGAGACTCTGCGAATCAGGACTGAATAGCCGCACTGAAGATGTTGCCTAGTTTGGTAACGAAACGTCTGCAACAGAAATGCCCGGCTCGGAGAACAGGACAATCCTCTCATCCACACCCTGATCTACAGGTATTCTCAATAATTTCCACCGAGTACAACTCCGGAGAGCATGTAACGGGCGGTTTTCACAAAACGACGATCGGCAGTAGCAACCGGAAAGGATACATGTCACCCCAACACAAGGAAGGAAACTCACCCACAACGGATGACAGTATGGAACTGATTGTAACACAATCCTAACAAAACAAAAGAATGTGATGGTGGCTGAAAGCTGGGACGAAGGGAATCGGCTGCCACATTGCGGTCGATTAGGCGATCAATTGCGTAAGCGTGTGCGTTTATAAAAACACAGCTAATTGTACAGAACCTCAGAACTGTAGATAGAACGTTTGTGTGCTGATCCAGTGTGTTTTCTTTCTCTTATTGCGGCTGGCAGACCCAGGCTTACGACAGGTAGTAGTTGGGAATGTTGGACGGGGAAGTGGTCCAAAAACGAACATTGTTTATCATTATTTCGACCAAAACCAACAACTGAGAATAGTGTACGCCGCTGACCTCATGCCTTGGTACCGCCCTAGAAGGAAAAGGTGCTAACACTAGTTGGGATTCGTCGCAGTCAGTCAGACAAGTCCCACGCACATTCGGAACAACACTGCTGGAGAGTAATAACCACCCGAACGAATTACATGCCATTTCGATTGAGGGCGGACTGCAAGGGAAATCGCAGCACTGGGGGGTTTATCATATCCCCTAACCGTTCATAATATGCATGGTAATGGAGAATGAGTAGCGCTAAACGGTAGTTGTTAATAAGTTGGGTTGGTCCGCGGCCATTACCAAGGATTAGTGGCATAAACTGCGGAGTTCAAAGCGGAATCGAGAGAATTTGTGCTATTGAGCATCTTAGGCAGCACGAAACGACGGTTCGGCAGTCTGACTGAGAGATGCCCAAGACAAAGCTCGTCTAGAACTTACAAATCTCACTACTGAGGTTCTACGTACCAACTGCCCAACCGGCCATTTAACAGAAACAAGTGTTTTATTGCAGATTTCACAAGAAGTAAAGCCCACTGTAAGGTTCAACAGACCTACTGATTATCTAGTTATCCATTTGAAGAATATGGATGAAATAGGTCAACTCAATAGCGGTATAATGAATTTTGAAGGTGGAAAAAAGAAGCCTAAAGAAACAATCAATTAACAGCAATTACATGGAATATGGAGATATACTCCGCACACCCTTATTCTATAGTCGGGAGAAAATTGAAGAAAATGTGGGAGGATTAAGAAACCGCGTAAAATTGAGTAAAATGGAAAAAGGTAGGACAGTACAAAGAAAAACAGGGAGGCAGAATAAGTAAGAAGTAACTATCTGAGTAAGTCGTTTTGAGACGAATATCCGAGGAAACTCCGTGAAACCAGAACTATCTGACCGTTATAAGTCATGAAAAGAAAGTGTAAGCATTAACTAACTGAGATACCACGACGGTGAATCAAATATGCAGAAGGCGGACGGTAGAAGCTGCATGAAGAAGTGAATCGCACATACCAGTCTCTTCAAGGACCGTCTAGATCTGACACTTATGATTCCAGGAAGCTAGTTTTCAAGTTTGACAATGCAAGGTTGCTTCATGCTACTTATATAATTGTCACTTTAAAGCGGACACAGTTCAAACCCTTTGCGACGCTTTTCAAATCAAATCGGACACAGTTCATTTGCTGCGTAGAATAACAGCAATTTATAGCCAATGAGGAAATAACGACCTTATAGACAGTCAGCTGATAAAAGATTCGTCCGATGCTGCCTCAGTCGAGTTTATTAATACACTGAGGACGTAAGTAGTGCAGTCTTGTTGCGTTACCGTTCCGATGCTCCTAGCACCTGGTCAACAGGCGTCTCACCAAAGCTTGGACATGCAAAAAGACATTTTCTACCGGGCCTGGCAAATTGTTTTCTTATCAACGAACAAAGGCTTGATAAGGATCACTCTGTGTGCCAAGGACACTCGCTTGCCCGATCGCTTTCTCGGAGATAAATCTTCTAGTGTGAAACAAGCATTTCCCTCTATGATTCCAACATAAAAAGCAGAAGACGTAGATTGTGAGATGACGCCGTCATTTCGTGCATTCTTATCAATCACAAAAACATGCAAGATCGCAGTACAAACGAACGGTGATCATAGATAGCATAGATAGATGACGACGTCAACCGACAATCAGCGTCTTCTGGTTTTTATGTCTGGAATCAGCTGGTTGTAAGTAGTTCACTTTTGGTTGCTTCGCGAAGCAACAGGCTGCACTGCTAGGATATCCGACTTACCAATTGACGATGATAGTCGCGTATCAGCACAGGTGGGCACACGCCGATTGGGTGACAGGGGGTAACGGCCACCGCATCTGACCGAAGTGAACAGCAATCCCGACCAAGTCAGTCCATGGCCATGGCAAAAGTCCTTACACTAGTGCCCTTTGAAGGCACAATCTGGAATGTATTATCCTAATCACAACGTCATGCAAACATCATCCATGTTGATTCAAAGAACTATCTTGTTAAAGCTTGTGGGCAACGTTTCGTTTTTGATAAAAAAGCATCCCCAGGCCGAATGAACCAGTGGATGATTGGTATAGCACTTACAGCAAACTGGGAAGTTAGTCGAGAAGACTTGGATGTAGGTATAAGCTTAGTTGCGTTACATGTCACACTGTCACAACAAGCGATGCACAGAACGGTCCCAAGTGGTCCGCATTACAAGATCTCACACACAAGTCCCTGTCAAGGTCAAAAATGAAACGTCGCCCACAAACCATACCAGTCGGCAGTTTTCAAACTGCTAAAACTATGAATTCTTCATCGGTTTAAAGCACTTTTTAACCTATGGAGTCTAACTTGGTTTGAAAATTGTCCATTTTTGTTCGAAAATGCTCAGTTGTGAAAATGGTATATTTAATCTCTGAAGAACTAGAATTCATAATTAACATGGCATCGATGCGGATTTAGGAAACCCAACCTATTGCATTAAGGTGGGCAAGAAAGAAACACATGCTAACGCTACGGGTGTACGACAGACATATCAGACTTACTGAGATCAGCGAGACAAACTTCTATGGGTACCTGTCGAAAGCCAAGATTGAAAAGTTCCACGTGGAGCCTGGTCACATCGATCGAAGCGAGAGTCTGCATCATGATGGCCGATAGCGGCCCCTTGGTCAAATCGTTCACGAAATTCCGATACGGAGTTGGAGCTGCACCTTCGAAAGGCACCACTCTGAAGCGGACAAGTTCATCGGACAGAGAGACGCGGCAGTCAGTTAGTCCTAAGATTTTTTGTGCCCCAGCGGGGTGTAGGAGAGAGTTGAAGTGTGACTCAATTTTGCGTACACATGAATTGCAATGCATGCCGTACACTGAAATGAGGATATCCAGCTGATAAACGAAGAGGACAAACGGCAAAAAATTAGGGCGCGCAGGACTGCTTGAACAAATGCAGTAGGTAGTACGACATACAACGGCCCGGTTATAAATAAGATAATCAGAAATTGGTGAGGATTGTAACAACCTGCCAAGAATTTGCAGGTACTATGAAGAAGCTGTTGCAGGAGGTTGATAATACATACATCACTAAGCTCCTACATGTTTCAATGCCAGCAAACTTTAAGGACATCGAAGTAGCACAAATGCAAAAACGAATGTCAATGATCTGCGTTAAGCATGCGTGATAACTACAGTACTCCGAGATCATGTGCCAAAAACGTGACGCCCTTAGAAGAAATGAGACATCAGAAGTACACAAGTATTAAGACCCGATGCTATGTTGTAACATAACGCAAATGGTTGTAAGCGGGTTGTGATGATGCAACGGCACTCGAACCCAGGCAGAAGCGGGGACTAGAACTCGAAGCGCAATGATTGCACTGTCGCGTGAGCTGATGAGGCATATCCTGATAAACCCCAACAATCTGTTTTCGTGAGGCTGTGAACCCAATATTACATTATACAAATGAAAGAAAAAGGATAACAGAAAGCAGCCCACCTTGTGGACAGACATAAAGAGAATATAACGTTCGACCATCGCTGCCTTCGCATTTTACCTCCCAGCTGGTGCGAACCGCGTGAGTATTGAGTGTGTTCGACGCCTTGTATTTAGCGAGCGAGTGAACCGCTCAGCCCAGTTATTTCACGTGTTGCGCATGCCAGCACACCGACTTCTGCGACGAGCGTTATTTGCGTGACCCGGATGCGGATTGAAAAATAAGTCCGGAGACCAAGCGATGACGTGGTCAAGAGGAATGAAAACCCTCGACTTCGAAGTTGGCGTCGGTTGGTACTCCCGACTGCCAGGCTGGGAATCCCAGGGAGGATGAACACGCTGGTTTGGATGCAGTTACTGACATCGCGAAGAGTCGACCACAATAGCATTTGTGTTGTTTATTTGTCCCTCCTCCTCCCGCTTAGCGACACAATAGCCGAGGTGTTTCTCACTTTTAGATAACGTGCAATAATAATAAGGATGAAGAGTGAAAGGCTAGCAACTGGAAGAAGATAGGCGCGGGGATTTCCCAGCCTACTCCAACGTAGCAGATCCCAAGGACCTAAAAAGCCAAGAAGGCAAGCTTCGGTTCAACTCAATTACTAAATCAATTGCGTCGCACACCTTTGTCACGCAGTTGCTTGGCCATCGTGGGCTTAGTCCGATCAGATGTCAACAGACGACCATAAGGTAAAGACAGGTAAAAATGTTCGATGAAGAGACAGGTGTGGGAATGTCAAACCAGATGAAGGTTAGTCATGAGTAGTGAAAGCACAATATGTCTATCGAGATAATGAAACATGGTGAATCCGATCGTGAAGTGTCGTCGAAATGATGCAGAAACAAACTGCGCTAGGGTCAAACGGTGGGAAGCGCTGTGAGATGAAAGTGTGGTTCGAACGCGGACCATGAGAATCTACCAAATCCGAAAAACGTTGATGCCAAATGACCTGCGGAAGTAAATGCAGCAATGACCGCAGAATGGTCCGACAAAAAGAAAACTTTAAAGTGTCACCGAAACTGAAGTAACAGAGATCATCATTTTCACGGGCCTGTAGAGATAAAGCGCGTGAAATGCACAGAGGACGGCGTAGGTTAGAAAGGCATTGGATAGACGTAGCAACTGAACGACTATACCACAGACACCAATAGGAAAGGTTGCCTGTGCGGCTACTGAACTAAGTGACAGAGTTTCGAACAAAGGATAACCGACTTCTTGAATCTGCGGCATCTGGCGTCAGAAAGGGGTTTCCCTCTGTCTGAAAGGTCGTGTTTACAAGACCACAGACTTGGTCCCTTCGATCTGAGGCGTCTTCAAGTCTTTGATCATCGCTGTCTGCGGAGCACTGTTGGTGCGCGGTGGCACGAGCCTGTCCGGAACGGGGATGTGCGTAGGCGAGTGTCAGGCAGTGGTAACCAAGCTAGTTTCTTAGAACAACAGCAAACACTGAATAAGCTGCATTTCCTTGGCCATGTACTACGTATGCCAGGTCACCGCTTTGTCTTGTTTGTCAGAAGTAGAGTGGCGCAACGCTCGAGGTGGGTAAAAGTTGACTTGACAGCGGGAAATGAAGTCAATGATGACCAAACTCGGTGCTGTCGATCTGTCTCACCTTCCAAGCTGGAATCCGCGTGATCCGCCTTGTACCTAGCTCGAGACTTTATAGATCATGGAACGGAAAGTCATCAGAAGTGCGCCGGTACGCAGTACCGACGCTTTGTTGCCGCGCAGCCATCACTAGTCGCACGTGGGTTAAGGATACTGCGAGGATCGCCAGATCCCTAAGCAGGCTCGAATCCGCGCCCTCGGATTACAAGGCAGGCTTGTGATGCTTACGAATACGGGGTGTCTCGCAGTTGGTACCGGTGGAGTGTCTGCTGTAGTCTCATAGTCGGACTACCTGTTTAACGTGTGGCACTGAGATATCTGCCGCGTAATAGCTGATTTTGGAACGTGACAGTGTAAGCCAAAAGGGAGCTGTCTCTGGTGCCGCCTTATCTTTGCACGATAGCCAGCTGCTTGTGATGCTATGTTTATGACGAGGTGTAGACACCTTGGCCCTGAGTGTCTGTTTAGGGCACTAAGGTTTTACGCTAGGTTTCCGCCCTTCCCCTCTTATTATTCTTCGTTCCGTAGGTCACCATGGTTGTACGGCAGCGAAACATCAGTTCAAATGGCTGGTGTACTGTTGTTGTTGATGATGACGTAAGGATAACCGACTACGTGGTTTGTTCCGCTCGCAAGTACTATCGGACTTTATGGATTGGATTGAGTACTCTGGTTACCAACATAAAGGAAATGACGACCAATGCAAGTTCGACTGAGTAGGTATTCTTAGACGACGCTGCTCTAGTGTCATGTAAGAGAGAAAACAGTAGTATCCGTGTCGATCAGCGAGGCCGTGCGGACATATTTGTGTCTTACAGCTTTAAAAAATCCCATAGTATGATCAGAAGTCAGGGTAAGCGAACGCGTTTTCGATAATTCATCTTCAGGCTTATAGAATTATATGCAAATCGAAATGTGCAGACAGACATTACAAATCGTTACTTATAGAGCGAGTTAACTGGATGCTGGCATGGCTGTCTGTTAAGACGTCGGGCTTAGAACTGGAAACGGAAAAACAGCCAACTCGTCACTATACGCGCAACTAGCCGATACAGGGCACGTGACAAAGTTCACTGATTCTTACAAAATTATCTATCAGGCCCCAAAGAACCGCTCGAACTATGTCCGCAAGCGACTACTAGAAGCCGCTGAAACAATTGCCATCCGGCTGTATGAACCAGAGATAAAGGCTTCGGACTACCCTGACCCATACGGCCGGTGACCTCTGACCCGCGAGGTCACACGTGGTCGATTGTCGTGACTTAAAAGACAGCACCGTCAGCATCCAATTAACTCGCCCTAACGACTTGTAATATCTGACTACACATTTTGATTTGTACATAAGTGCATAAGTCTGAAAAGGAATTACCGAAAACGTACGTTCGCTTACCCTGACCTGATCATATTTGTGTTTACTTATCTTGTGCGCGAGAACAATCATCATCTTCTAAAATCCTCGGGGTGCAAAATGCTGCCAAGTGACCTCATCCGACTGAAAATTATTTGAGACAGTTAGTTCCCTTTAGTAAGTTGAAAAGCGCAGTAAGGAGACGAAGACTGACTGAAAATTATTTGATCAGTTGGCACAGGTGAATAACGAATTTAGCGATAGGTGCGTAGTAGTTTTCATTTCTTTCACAAATTGTAACAATGAAGGCGGCCACGTTAAAACAAAGAAATTGGTGATAGAACCGCTGTATGTTGCGACAGATAGGATGCGGAACGGATCTCCCTGAGTGTTGCGAGAAATGGTATGGTGGTGTGTGTGTGTGTCCGCCGAAGATGTCTTCGTCTCCAACGTGCTTTGTGATTTGCAAAACATCTACCGAGATTGGAAACGGGTGTGTGTGGCATGTCAGGAGGTAGCAACAGCGAATGAGTAAAATTAACCTTCAATAACTGGCTACACGGTTCATTTTGCTGCTCATCGAGTGGTGCCAAGTGATGCGAGACTAGCAGAGGAGGTCGAAGTATAAGATGAAGTTGGGCAACTCCAGTGGGCTTACTCACACTGAGGCGCCACATATGACTCAGTTCACGCATCCTCATGGAGACTGAGAAACACTTGGTAGGCCCGATTAATGGTATCGATGATGCAGCTCCAAGTAGGACCACTTTAGGACTCCATAGGTGTTAACTCGGATGACGAAGAAACAGGATGTCATTGAAGCGGCTTGGATGATGAATGTGCATGGCAGCTACAGCTGGACTAGGTTGTTATACGACTGCCGCGCATCCCCGCGCAATGCGACCCAGTTAAGTGGATGCCATGCGAGTGTTGCCGAGGTACCCATGTGGCTGGTGATCCTATTGCTAGATTCGAAAGAATGCCAGCTATTGCTCTTCAGTGCATTGCACTAGTGACAATGTGGATATAAAAGGGATTCTACGAAGAGTAGAACTATGATGCAGATAGCACCGTGTGTGGATCTAGCACACAAACCTGTCACAAAGTGACAACAGTGAACGATGTTCCATAGATGCTGGAGTGCGCACATGCACTTGTGGTTCGATTTGAGTCGCACAACCTCTTGGTTTTGTATTGACTAAGGAGTACAGTCGCAATATTTACTCACAAACGGGTAATATCTGTTGAGGGAGCGTACACCGAGTAGGAATGAACTCTCACCTGTGTGTGCTCCCAACAGATCGCATGATTTTAAGTCTACACAGAGTATGTGATGCGTAAGGGGCGATATGGCTGATAAAGGTACCCACGGTCTCTGCGCAACACAGAGACGAATAAATGCGCATAACCATATAGGATAGAGAGAGAATTACGTAAGG